GAGGAGTGGCTGGTGGGTTTGAACCGCCAGCCTTCTGGTTAGCAGTCAAGTGCCTTAGGCACTATGCTACCAGAGCTCCTACTGAGTAGGGAAGAACTATAAAGGGCATTTTCAGTATAACTAGGAAAATTTAAACATTTAAATATTGTAATATCTATATTAAATACTTTAGGAAACTATATTGATTCTCTTAAGGATAATAATGGTATGATTGTACACGAGAAAGTCTTTGTTGTCAGGAAATACATTTTGAAATATTTAGGGTTAAAATGTCCTTAACATTTACCATTTATTTTCCCATATAAATGTATTTGTTTCCTACAGAAAACAAGTATGAAATGGTATATAACTGATTACTGAACTATCTTTTTACCTTTTTTGAGTGTATGAATAAAAAAAAAACCTGAGGAAAAAGGCATTGGACTGCTAACCAGAAGGCTGGCAGTTCAAACCCACCAGCCACTCCTCGGAAGGAAGATGAGGAAATCTACTTCCATATTGATACTGCCTCGGAAATCCAAGGAGGGGTCGCTATGAGTCGGGTCCGACACGAGGCACATAAAAACAACAACAACAATGCAAAACCAACAGCCAACATTATTCTCAACGGAGAGAGCAACCTACTCCCATAAAGATACCGCCTCAGAAACCCAAGAAGGGGTTGGTATGAGTCGAATCGACTCAATGACAGTGAATGAGTTTGAGGAAAATTAAGTTAACAAAGATGGAGGGGAAAAAAAGAACTGTAAACCATACATCAAGGAAGCAACTGCAATATATCCATTTAACAGAACAATAGTTATTAAAAAGAATCATGAAAATACACACATATTAGAAATACACCAACAACGTCTAAAATATAAAAACAATTTTTAAAAAAGTATGATCACATCTGCCTTTAAAAAAAAATTGTACACACAGAAAATTCTCTAAAAGGCCACAGAGCAAAATATTCAGTGCTTGCCTAAAGAAATAGGACTATAGTACACTAGAATGGAATTATTCATCTCAATTTCTACTATGTTTATCATTACAAAAGTAAACAATACAGTGATAGAGTATTGTATGATTTTGTAATGATAAAATAAACATATATATACAATGATAAAAAAAAAATAACTTATTACCTCTCTTAAAATCAGGATCTCAAATACACTTAAAAATTTGATACCATTAATATTTCAATATTACTACAAATGTGTATGTCATGAAGACAAACAGAGAAAGAGAACTCTTATAAAATCATGCAACTAGTATAACTCCAAATGGTTTGTTGTTGTTAGCTGCCATTGAATCAGTTCTGATTCACAGTGACTCTACGTGCAATTAAAAAAAAAAAAAAAAAAAAACCCTGCACAGTCCTGCACCATTCTCACAATTTTTGTTATCCTTGAGCATATGGTTGCAGTCACTGTGGGAATGCATTTCATTCAGGGTCTTCCTCTTTTTCACTAACCCTATACTTTAACAAGCATGATGTCCTTCTCCAGGGAACAGTCCCTACTGATAACATGTCCAAAGTATGTAAGATAAAGTCACACCATCCTCCCTTCTAACATCATTCTGGCTGTACTTCTTCCCAGATTTGTTCATTCTTCCTACCCAAACCAAGCTCACTGCCATCAAATCCATTCCAACTCATAACAACCCCCAATGGGTTTCTAAGATGCAGACTGCTTCATCTTTCTTCCACAGAGCAGCTAGTGGGTTCGAATTACCAACCTTTTAGCTGGCAGCCAAATGACTTAAATTCTTCTTACACTCTATGGAATATTAAATATTCTTTACCAACACTATAATTAAAATATATCAATCCTTCCTCAGTCTTCCTTATTCATCATCTAGCTTTCGCATGCATAAGAGGCGAATTAAAATGCCAAGGCTTGGGTGAGATATACCTTAGTCTTCAAAGTGACATCTTTGCTCTTTAATACTTCAAAGAGATCTTTTGGAACAGATTTGTCCAATGCAATAGGCTGTTTGATGGCATGAATGCTGCTTCCATGGGCATTGACTGTGGATCCAAGTAAAAGGAAATCTTGACAAGGTCAGTCTTTTCTCTGTTTACCACAATGTTGCATATTGCTCCCATTATGAGGACTTCTGTTTTCTTTATATTGAGGTTTACCATACCAAACGCCTTTGAACTTCATCAGTAAATGCTTCAAGTCTTCTTCACTATCAGTGAGTAAGGTTGTGTCATCTGCATATTGTAGGTTGTAAATGAATTTTCCTCCACTCCGAATGCTCCTTTATACAGTCCAGTTTCTCTGATTATTACGATAATACCTCTAGTATACCTTCTAGGAGCTCTGGTAGCATATTGTCTAAGGCACTTGACTGCTAACCAGAAGGCTGGCGGTTCAAACCCACCCAGCCACTTCTCGGAAGGAAG